AAACCGGACACCCCTTGCGGCACGGGTTTCATAACGTTCATCGCTGGCAACGGTCCTCTGGTTAAATTGTGTCTCAAGTTCTGATTACTCATTGAGCTCAAGGCCTGGCCGGACTGCGCCATGCTCAGTTTTTGCATCTGTCTGACCTGCACGCTGGGAGCAATCTGGTTAGGTGGCACTACGGCCTGTTGGGAAAACTGTTGACCTGATGCATTCGGTCTCACGTTCTGTTTAGAGAAGACAGTGCTACTGGAGAACTGCTGCATGTTGGCATCCATTTGGCTCTGACTTGGCATCCTTGGCACTGCGGTTGGTGTCCACATCTGGGCAGATGAATTGGGGTAGACGCTGGGGATTCTTGGCATACTCGGCTGTCTCAAGTGCTGCTGAGTGGCGGAGTGGTTTGCTAGGGAAGCCGAGTTAAAGCCTGCCATGGCCATTCCTGGCCGCGCAGCAGAGTGGCTGTGTGCTGTTTGGCATCCAGAGTTCATGCCCAGCGAGTTCTGGCTTGGCCGCAGCGGGATGTTGAAGTCAGAATTAGGCGGAAAAATGCCCTGCTGCTTGCCGGGGTTGTGCGGGATCATCACCATGGTCCCGCTGCTCTGGCTGGCCGCGGCGGGGGCGATGGCCGGGCCCAGGGTGCTCTGGAGCAGCGCCGGGCTGGGGGGCAGCATGCGGTGGTTGGCAGGAGGAGCGGGCATCGGCTGGCTGCACTCGCTGGGCAGGGGCTGCTGCACGGCTGCACAGAGACACGCGTTAGCCACGGCGCCAGCGCTCGCCCCGCAAACACGGCAGCTCCTTCACGGGCTGCGCTTCCTTACTGAGCCCCCTCGCTACACGGGCCTCTCCTCTGTGTGCTTTGTAGCACACAGAGTGCTAGGGAAATAGATGAATCCCACATTATGTGATAAAATGTGGGATACTTTATTTCAGGGAAGGGAATCATTAAGACCCCTGTATTTAATCAGACCCTAGACCCTGGCTCCATGAGGCTTTTAATAACACACCAGTTACCTTCTTACCTTGAAACTGGTTCATCTGCTGAGCCACAAACAAACTCCTCTGCTCAGATGTTACTCCCAGCATGTTTTGTCTCTGCTTTTCCTGGAAGACAAGAGGAGTAATAGTCAAGTTGCAGCCTCTCGACAAACAAGAATAGCAGCAGACACTTGAAGTGCAGCCACTGTCAGCACTAACAGCCTCTCCAGCGCTCGTACACATGTACACACCCCTCTGCAGAGCCTCTGCCCAGGCATGAACAGCATCTGTGGCAGCATTTCAAGGGCCCACAGGGGAGGAACAGGATGCTGGTGGTGGCTGCTACCCTGTCTGGAGGATGGCTCTGGATCACCTTTAGTGCTGTGGGACCCTTAAAATCAAAGCATGGCATCGCTGGTGTTCTCCAAGCCACCTGGTTTTTATTTTCCACTACTTAATCCTAGAACCTGCCCACTGCTCTCTCCTCGTTGCTGTGGGCAGCAGCTGTGACCGGAGCAACTCTCCATGTACAGAGCAAGCTGAGGCCTGGCCAAACTGCCGCTGTGGCAGAGCGGTCCAAGCGGCTCCAGGTCGGCTGGTGACAAAGGGGCAGAGCTGCTTCTGGAAGGGAGTCTCATCGAAGGGCAGGACAGCGCTCGGCGAGGAGGTTTCCTGAGCTCCTGCTCATCTCCCCTCGCCTGTGGGTGGGCAGAGCAGCACTTGGCCACTGCACCCGCCATCGGGTGTGAGAGACCGGCCTAACCACGGCCTGGGCTGACTCAGCCCAGCAACTCCCGGGTCCCTCCTTAGCGTTTGCTGACTGCTCGTTCCCCATTCCGGTCAGTCCCGTCCTTGCCTGCCGGGCAGGCAGTGCGGAGCCGCGGGGAGCTCGGCCCCCCGTACCTGCATCAGCTGCCGCTTCATTATTTGCTGCTTCAGTAGATGGTTCCTCATCGTGTAGCCGTTCACCGTGGCTGGTGGCGGCACAGAGCCTCCGCTTGGGATGGAGCCTGGCTCCTGAAGCCTGGCAACGATTCCAGGATTTTGATCCTGCCAAGAAAGATGAAGAAAGAAAATTAATCTCATCAAGGAGATAACAACAGAAGCCTTTATCCTTTCCGCTGATGCTCTCTCTCCAGTCTTTGGCTGTCCCATGCCAAAACATCCTGTGGATTCGTCCTGGTCCCCGTGCCATGGGGAGGACAGCGAGGGGCACGGGACTGCTCGGAATTTGGAGGATCAGCACAAGAAGAAAAGAGAGATGTAAAAGGTTAATTCAGAATTCTCCGTGACCTGCCCAAGGCTACGGGACTGATTCACTGCGATTAATGGAGTCACATGGCTGCCTGGCTGGCAGAAGGATGTGAGTAAAGCGTCACGTTTCCCACCAGTTCCCCAACTGTTACACTGAAAGACATAAGGAAAGAAAAGTTGCAGCAGGGCAGGATTTGGCTATTGGGCATAAAGAAGAAGCCCACAGTAAAAGCAAACAGCCATTAAAGGCAGAAGAGGAGAAAAGGACGAGTCAGGCCAGAGACCTGGGCTGAAATGGGAAATTTGTGGGTTCCCTGATCTGACAAACGAGGAGAAAAGTGGCTGTGAAAGGAGAGGGGAGCAGTGAAAATGCAGGGCTAGATCATGGCCTGGCATAAATCAGTGACCAAATGGGCTTGATCCCTGGCTAGTGAAAACCAGCATCCCTCTAAGGGGCCAGTAAAAGATCAGTGTGGATTTTCTTTAGCTGAGGACTTGCCTCAAAAGACACAAAGTTGTGGGGAGGAGAGAGAGAGAAAACAAGCAAACAAACACACAAACACAAAATACCCAAAGAAGTGCCATGAAGACACAACCCAAACGAAAAAAAAGAATTAAAAAAATACACTCAAGCCAAACACCTTAGGAACTGGCGAGCAATCAGGGAAATGCAAGAGATAAACGAGAAAAGAAGTCAAGGCCTCAAAGAGAACAAGGAGGGAAGGGATCCTGTAAGTGCCATAGCCAGGCACAGCAGCACCAGAGTATTCCCCTCTCTCCATTTTCACATCCAGCCTCTCCATTATTTATGATGTTTTGTTACTATTGGCAGGGAGAAGTATGTATGTTATAGCCAGCATCCCTAGCTAGGCCGTGCTTCCTTTGTTTGCGCAATGGAAGCCACATCCTTTGTTTGCGAATCAATGTTATCAGGAGATAAGCAAAACGAAAATGGTTGTCGCCTTTTGACATCTGACAATTAGGACCATGCTCGGATGGAGCAAACAAGATACGAGCCACGTTTCGGAGTGGCCAGAAGAAAGCACTGGAAGGCATTTGTCAAAAGGCAGCCCTCGCGGGCCAGGGGCTCCTTTCCACAACAGCTTCATCATGAGGAATCACCCAACTCCTTCCAAGATATTCTTTATAAGAGCGATTACCAAGAAGGTCACTGAAATTACTCATTTTTATGGTGCCTCCCTTTGTTGCAGCACTTGGGTCTATTATGCAAAAGCACAATTGATGAAATGTAAATGCCTGCTGGATAATTTACTAAAAGACACAAACCTGCAGCTCATCACTGCTCTCATTATCATTCCTATTCATGGGCAGTCTCATAAGACCAGCCTTTATTGCCGGTGCTTTGCTTACAATTCTGCTGGACACCTCTCCTCCTCCCCCTTCCCTCCTCCCCGTTTTACGCCCTCTCTCCCACCAAAAAAAGGCAGAGGGGAGGAAAAGGCAAATATGATTTACTACCGATGTAAATATGAAAGTTCACGTAACGCTGGCATCCTGCTTTCATGTCAGAGAGTATTCTGCAGCCATAGTTAAGCTTTGAATAATGCAGATTGCCTCTAGGGGAATACTTGAAAGTGCAGGGATTCGGTTTGTGTACTCTACACATGAAAGACACTGCAATGTTCATACCACCCAAATCCCTGCCATCTATCCAATTTCCTCCCAACTTGTCTTGTTGCGTGCAGAGGGGCTGTGCTTACTGAAGCAAATGAGTTTAGTGCAAGGACAATCATTCTGATGTCTAGCTCAGGGCTATTGCATTAACAAGTCATAACATTAAAGTCTCTTTTCCTAATCATGTCCACCTCATTCTCATTTCTCCTAAGCACTATCAAGAAAATAATGTTGATTTTTCCATATTATTAATGGTAAAAGCAGTGTAAATCACATTACTAATTGCAGTTTTTGCGCTGTGGCAATACAACAGCTTAATTATATGGGGTTTTCTGCAGGCACCCTATAGCAATAATGACAATCAGCAAAGTTCATTTGCAAATAGGCAGATTGGGTTGCTGAGTTTTTGAGAGCAAAGTTGTATAACACTTAATTAGCCAGTAAAGAAACAATCTATAGATATAATTTTTGCTTTTGGGGAAATTAGGACAAAAATAGCATAGACAGGAAGACAAGGAATGAATGCAATATCTTTCCTTTTACAGTTCATATTTAGGTTAAGCCAAAAAAAAAAGAAAAAAAAAAAAAAGGAAAAGGAAAAAGTTCTCTCTTTTCACCACTAGTGGGAACTACTGTATTCCCTTACAGTAACAAACAGGCATGTAAACATCACGACTAAGAATAGCTCGCATGTAGTCTAAAGGACACTGCTATCCGTACCAAAGGTTAATGAACTTTAAACATTTTTCCTTTTCATCACTTCTCCAGAAAAACCATTTTCCTTCCCATACTAAGGCCAAACCAAACAAGGTCGAGTCTCAACTTGTCCGTAGCTTGGACCAGCCCACATTATAATTCAGGAAGGCGGCAGCGTCCAAGCCAGGGAGCGCGGAGGGGCTCTGCACCCCAAAGGCTTGGGGACCTCCGCTCGCTGCAGGGCGCACGTCCCCAGGGGACTCCCATCCACCAGCTTTTAAAGATACTGGTTTGCACGCACGTATCTCTTATTTTTTGTTCTTTCTGTCTCCGTCGCTCACAGCAGAGCACGCAGGGCTGGCTGGGGCCTGGCGTGCGTGTGTTGCCAGGCCAAGTGCTGCCCGGCGCTCGGGCTCCGGCAGCATTCCCAGCGCTTTCCAGTTTGGCAGTGTCTCCGTGAAGTGGCTTTGGCGGCGGCGGCGCTGGTTGGATCCGGCGTCCTGCAGCCTCCTGGAGGAGGCGGGAGCAAAGGCCGAGCCCGGAGGCTCGTGGCGTTGCGTGTTCCTGCCCCTGCCCGGCCACTGCAGCGGGGCGGGAGCCGGCGCGCGAGCGGAGCCGGCCCTTCCCGAGAGCCGGGCGCGCGGCGCGCTGGGACTCTGCAAAGGCGGCTGCAAGTTACTGCGGCCGACTGCAGCAAGAGGGGTCCCATCCGGGCACACACTTGGCCCCAGGCAGGCGAACGGCGCTACCGGGACCCACCGCATGCAGCTGTGCACCCGCAGCCTCTAAAAATGCACTGGGGATCCACAAGCAACGCAGCCTCACGAGCCTTGTCCATGAGAGACACAAGTGCAGTAAATAAGCACGGAGATGAATGTCCCGCGGCAGCGCTGTTGATAAACTCCAGTCCAGTCCTTCGTTATATATCCAGTAATCGCTTTGTGGCTTCACTTAAGCGAGAATGAAGAAATTTATGGCCCCTAATTCCTCTGAATCCTCATTAACAAACAGTCCAAAAAGAATTTAAAAGCAAGACTTCACGAGGATCAGAGTTGAGCTTTAATCACTCTTTGGCAAATATGTAAAGATCCCTCTAATCTTTAATAAAGAGCAGTCATTGTTTTTTAGGGCTATGTGAAAACACTAAACTCATTTATCATTATTAAACTTTCCCATCTGCTCTTACAGTGTAACTCTGAAGAATATCACATAAAGAAATGTACATGTTAAATTGTATTGACTTAAGCCCAGAGCTATTGGCGATCTACAATTTATTTCAGCGAGGGCACGAAGGGGACTGCAGGCTGCTAGACAGAGTCATTTGTCCACTGTTGAAAAGACAGTTATCTGCACCAAAATGGCTCTTGGAAAGGCACATTTGCTTTATAAGAAATAAGCTGCCAGGTGAGACCATTCAGCATTATGTTACAGACCCAGACAATAAAACTAAGCCATGAATTTCAATAGTTAACAGATGGACTAATTAGAGACTGAATTCTTTGTGGTTCTACCAGATAACCAGGTCACAGCAAGGTTACTGGGAGAGAGCCACTCAGCTCTGCACATTTCAGCAGATATTTGCAGAGTAGGTGAAAAACTCTACTTCCTAAATGAAAGCATTAACAGCCGTGGAAGAACGGAAATGCATCTAATTAAAAATGCATACAGTAGCTGCATTTAAAAAGTTTCTTCCATTTCAAAAGGCATTACGGATTTGACAAATACTCCCTCTGCTTTAAATGGGGAATCCAGCTGAATCCAGTCATTATGTATCTTAAAACAGAAGGATTACAGAAATATGCCACAGCACCACGGGAGAAAAGGAGAAGGCAAAAGGTGGCTCCATGTAGAAAATACGAGGAGGGAACAGACTGGTTTTGGCCACTGGATTTTTTGGAAGCAAAGACAGCAAACCCTGAAGCATTTGACAAGGCACCACAGAGCAAGATGGAAACGCTTGTGGTTCATGGCTGCCCGGCCGCGCGCCCTGCGACTCTTCACGGGGCTGCTGCGTTTGGAGCCCTTAGCTCTGAAGTCCGTGACCAAGGGTCCTAGGCACAACCATGCAGGAAACACTACGGGTTGAACAATGTAAACACTAGGGCTACTGCAGCGGGCACACGCAGGGAATCGCAGAGTTTCTAGGAGGTTTGGACCCATAAAGAAGCCACCTGTGGCCTTGCTGTGTCTAACACCTTGCGTGGCTCCGCAGCAGACCTGGATGCCACCTTTACAACAGGGATCACTGTCTCCGCTGTGGTAATCCATGTAGGCAATAAAATTCTGCATGTTTGGCCAAGGCAGGCAAACCAAGCCAACCAAACCCAGGTTCATGAATGATCACGGCACCTGACCCAAGAGCGGGATGTCTGCAGCATGCCACAATCGCTGCAGCTCAGCCGTTACGTATCTTTCTCGCCTTTAGCAAAACTCTTCATTTGTTCCTTCGGAAGATTTCTTCATTT